TCATCACCTTTGTTTCTTCTGGAATTATAATCCATGGGCACTTCTGATCACACTAAGCAACATTTCACAGAGGCCACTCCTTATTGTAATGCTTCGCTCACCAGAATGGCGGGGGGGGGGGGGAACCAGATTTACAAACAGCTCTTCAAATGTATCACGTAGTAGTCTACCATGAATTTCTTGTGAACTAGAATGACGAAGGCATTTTATTTATTTCTCCGACTTTCAATCAATACAGAGTAGACCTTTCCATTCTGAAGCTGGGCATGGAGTGCAATGAGAGAAATTTGAGGGCAAGTGGAAAAAATATGAGTCCTTTATACTCTTAAAACTTTTGGGGGAAAGAGATGACAGGTGGATAATTCCATTTATCAGGTGCTTGGAGTTTTGATGTGGAGGTATTGAAGAACTCTGTACTTTTAGTGCCCTACATCTTCTAAATAAAAGATCACAGGTCTGATAGCAGGAGCAGAGCACAGTTTAATAATCTCTAAGCATTAGACCAAGCCTGTATGTTCCTAATTCAAGATGTTTCCCTTGTTGAATAGTCATAAATTAAAAAGCCCAGAAGCAGGCCCAGTGTTCCTCCATTACCCCAAAGGTGCTTCTTCAGAGGGCAACTGGACTTCGTTTTTTTCCTTGAAGATATTTCACTACTCATCCAAGAAGCTCCAAACTGGATTAGTTGTAAGGGCCAGCCTCCCATAAATTGCTGTAATATGAGAGTAACATGAAGTCCCTGTGCCTCTGGATATCTTCTATTAAAAACGGGTGGTGTGATGATGCCCTCTGCCTAGTTTCTCCAAACATTATTGGAGCCCAGTTCCCATTAGCTGCATCAAGCATGGCCTCGTGATCCTTGATAGTAAAAAGGGTGGCCAACAGCTCCTAAATAAATTGTCTATATCTGGTCTTAATGGAAACCACCCATAAGGCTGTTAGAAAATTCCAGAAACAAATTTTATTGGACAGAAGGGAATGGAGCTGTAAACTAAACCAACCTTTCTTCCTTCCTTCCTTCCTGCCTGCCTGCCTTCTTTCCTTCCTTTTTTCTCTTCCTCTCTTCTCCTCTACTCTCCCTCTTTTCCTTTGTTCCTTCTTTCCTTCCTTCTTTCCTTCCTGCCAGCCTGCCTGCCTGCCTTTTTTCTCTTCCTCTCTTTTCCTCTCCTCTCCCTCTTTTCCTTCCTGCCTTCCTTTTTTCCCTTCTCTTTTCCCTCCCTCTCTCCCTCCCTCTTTTCTTTCTTTCTTTCTTTCTTTCTTTCTTTCTTTCTTTCTTTCTTTCCTTCCTTCCTTCCTTCCTTCCTTCCTTCCTTCCTTCCTTCCTTCCCTCCCTCCCTCCCTCCCTCCCTCCTTTTTCTTTCCTCTGCTTGCTCCTTCCTTCCTTCCACCCTTCCCCCTTTACTTCCTTTCCTTTCCTTTCCTCTCCCCCTCCACCCTCCTGTCCCCCTTCCCCTTCCGCTGAGCTGCTAGACCACTTGGAAATTAACTAAATGCAAGTACCGAAATACGCCTAGGAACTGCCTCTGCCAGAGATGGCACATATCGGTGCATGGGTCACAGGAAAATTGGGCTACGTTCAGTTGTGCCAACCTTGCCAGGGAGAACGCCCTCAGCAAAGAGAGTTGCTGTTGTTGATGTTTTTAAAAAATCTATTTTTTCCTCGAGAGCAGGATAGAGGAAGTTTAGAACGGAACAGAAAGAAGCGTCTTACATTTGGGGAGAGGAATATATATATATTATATATATATTAAATATATAATATATATTTAATATATATATATTAAAAAACGCTGTTGTGATTTCCATCATCAGCCAACAGATCCAGGAGCTTCTGGAAGCAAAAGGGAGCTGTTATTGCAGAGGCCACTTAGTGAAAGGCTGTAGAGACCCTCCAGTTTACTGCTGCTGACAAGCAGCGAAAGTGGTCTAATATATACTGTCTGCGGCTGCCCTTTAAATTCTGTTTTGGAGTTCAAGACAAATAGGCCCTCCCCACCTCCATCCCAGAGCATCAGGATGCTTTAAGGGAAGCACCGGTTGAGAGGCTGCCATATTTACTTGTCTCCGTGTTTTGATAGCGGAGGCAGGAGCCTGGATTCAGGCTGAGTTGTGGGAAGACAGCTGGCGGATGCTGATGAAGAGCCTGTAGGGAAGGATAGAATCCCATAAACCAGGGGTGTCAAACTTAAAGCCCACGGCCCACGGGGTGCTTAGATCTAGCCCACGGAGCCACCCTAGAAACAGTGAAGGACTGGCCCGCAGTGCCTCTGCCAGTGAAAACAGGGTCCCAAGCTCCGTTTTCGGCTGCGACGGCCTCCTGCAACCCTCTGCCAGTGAAAACGTAGCTTGGGAGGGCCGCGTGTGTTTTGCCCCGTTTTACCACTTTTCTTGCCCCGTTTGTTGAGAGTATCACTACAGTTGCTAAATTAGTAACCTGGTTATTAAGTGAATCTGGTTTCCCCATTGACTTTGCCTATCAGAAGGTCCCAAAAGGGGATCACGTGACCCTGGGATACTGCAACCGTCATAAATACAAGTCAGTTGCCAAGCATCTGAATGTACATCATGTGACCATGGGAATGGGACAACGGGCATAAGTCATTTTTTTCCAGTGCTGTTGTAACTTTGAACGGTCACTAAATGAACCGTTGTAAGTTGAGGGCTACTTGTACAGGTAGACCTCAACTTACGAACAGTTGCTTAGTGACCATTCAAAGTTCTGACAGACCTCCCCAGGGCTATTTACAATCTGGATGCGAAGTTCTCCCACATGTATGTGCTCATGCGCGCACACACACACGGAGTGGTCACATGACCACATTTTGGGCACTCATAATTTGGTCCGCACTTATGGCCATTTGCAGCATCCCATGATCACGTGACCCCCCCAATTAATGAAGTTATTCTCCTGGAAACCAGCATTTGCTTTGGGTTTCTGCCCCCAAAAATGCCCTTTTGTGGACCATGAATTTGCTTAACATCCCCTGCAAAAAAGATTGTAAAATGGGGTGTGATTGCATGCTGACCCACTTAACGACCAGTACGACTTATGACCATAATTCCAGGCTCAATTATGGTCGTAAGTCGCCATTTTGTGAGTGTCACCCAACCCTTGCTCTCCAAATTCCAGTTATGTTCCTGGCCAAAAAATAAAAATAAAATCAAAAACAAAACCCGAATTCTCCTGTTTTAGTTGAAGGGGGCCTGCCAACACCCCCCGGGCAAGTTTCAGCGGCCATTTTAGGGAGGAGAAACAAAAGAGTGTCATCTAAACCATGACATTTTCTGGTCTGTTTTTGTTTTGGAGAGCATGCGGTTTGTGGGTTTTTTCTTTCCCCTTTTTCTTTGTTCTTGTTTTATTTTTATTCCCCCCCCCCTTCCTTCCTTCCCCTGTCGTTGATAAAATCTAAATGAAACAGGTATATAATGCCCGCTGCCTGTTCGAAAGACTCGAGCCATAAAAATAACAAATGGCGTGTATTTGCTCGAATGTCAAAGTTATGAGTTTATTTTGTAATGATGTGCTCCTGCTTTCATGAGGTAAACTGGCCGTGGCAGAGGTGTTATTAGTAATATGGACCCAGCAGAGCAGAAACCCGAGTGACCGAGAGATCAGTGTATCAGTCAGGGAGAGGGCAAATGGGAAGAGACAGCGGGGGAATGAGAAACACGGCGGCGGCGCCTGGCGCTCGGCGGAGATTAGGAGACGGGCCCTGCGCACGGGAGGCTGGTGGTCAGAGGCGCCTGCTTGGAAGCGCCTTCCGAGGAAACTCTAGGGGGTTGTAAGTGTTTGCCTGGTGTGATATCCCCCCCCCATTTTTTTTTTCTGGAACCAGGTAGGCAAGGTGGATTTCGGCCAGGTACTCTCCGATGGCTGTTTGCTTACAAGAATTAGTTGTGATGCTCTCACTTGTTCTTGGCTGTACACCAAGGAGGATTTTGCTGTTTGTTTTTTTAAACAATTGTGTCAATGCAAAATGCAGGTTAGGAACCTGAAGGTCCCTTCCCCTTCCCTTTTCTTCCCTTCCCTTCCCCTTCCCTTATTCCCACTTCATTCCTCTCCCCTTCCATCTTCTCCCCTCCTCTTATTTCACTATGCTTCCCCTCCTCTCCTCTTCCCTTTCCCCTCTTCTTCTTCCACTTCCTTTCCCTTCTCCCCCTTCCCTTCTCTTCTTGCACTTTCCTCCCGTCCCGTCCCTTCCCCTCTCCTCTCCTCCTCTTCTCTTCCCCTCCTCTTCTTCCACTTCCTTTCCCTTCCCTTCTTCTACTTTTCTTCCTTTCCCTTCTTCCACTTCCCTTCCCTTCTCTTCTTCTACTTTTCCCCCTTCCCTTCCCCTCTCCTCTCCTCCTCTTCCCTTCCCCCTGCTCTTCTTCCACTTCCTTTCCCTTCTTCCACTTCCCTTCCCTTCTTCCACTTTTCTTTCCTTCCTTTCTTTCTTCCACTTCCCTTCCCTTCTTCCACTTTTCTTTCCTTCCTTTCCATCTTCCACTTCCCTTCCCTTCTCTTCTTCTACTTTCCTCCCTTCCCCTCTCCTCTCCTCCTCTTCCCTTCCCCCTCCCCTTCCTTTCCCTTCCCTTCTTCCACTTTTCTTCCTTTCCCTTCTTCCACTTCCCTTCCCTTCTCTTCTTCTACTTTCTTCCCTTCCCTTCCCTTCCCCTCTCCTCTCCTCCCCTTCCCGCTCCTCTTCTTCCACTTTTTTTCCTTCACTTCTTCTACTTCCCTTCCCTTTCCTTCTATTCTTCCACTTTCCTCTCTTCCTCTCCTTTTCCTGCATTTCCCATCCTTTTTCCTTTCCCTTTTCCTGGACTGCACATACAAACACTGTCATACAAGAATTTCATTGCATACAGTTGTCTGTATATTTTTCTAATGCATGTTGTATTAGCCACTTTGTTGGCTTTCTATAGACAGAAGGAACAAAGAAAAAGCATTTTGAAGCTCATTGGGTGCTATAAACAAAATCTGACAATGTTCTTTTGCTTGCCCCTTCTTTACACAGGTGCTTGGAAGAGAGGTGTACACTTCTAATAACCAGTTGGGTGGTATCCAGATCATGCACAACAATGGAGTGACCCACAGCACTGTGTGCGATGACTTTGAAGGTGTCTACACCATTCTCCAGTGGCTCTCATACATGCCAAAGGTACACTTTCCTGCACTTATCTGTTTCTTTATTTAAACAATGTATACATCTCACAGCCACGAACATCAAGTTGGAAGACTTGACGAAAACACTTTAATCTCATAACATGTGGACAGGTTCGACTATAGTTTCAACTGGAAAACTGTAAGCATTTTAAATCAAGCCAAATCCAAAAATGCTGGAGAATTTTTGGAAATCCTGCTTTCTAGCGAAGCTAAATCGCGCGGCACAGCTGTTCCCCCCTCTCGTGGTCTACTTACCTGGCGCTTGTGCACTGCACTTGTGCAGGCAGCGAACCGATAGCAATCCGCGGAGGCTTTCACCACTGCATTGAACTCTATCGGATTCAATGGAATGAAAGCACAACTGTCATTTCCAGAACTATAGTGTAGGATCATGAAAATAGCATGAGAACTGAGTGGCCAATAGCTTTAATACAGGTAGCCCTTAACATAGGACCGCAATTCAGCCCAAAATTTCTGTTGCTGAGCAAGACAATCGTTAGGTGAGTTTTGCCCCATTTCACCACCTTTCCTGCCACAATTGATAAGTAAAATCCCTGCAGTTGTTAAGTTAGTAACACAGCTGTTAAGTGAATCTAGTTTCCCTATTGACTTTGCTTGTCAGAAGGTGGCAAAAGGTGATCACATGACCCGGGAACACGCAACTGTCATAAATACTTGCCAGTTGCCTGGAATTCTGATCACATGACCATGGGAATGCCGCAATGGTCTTAAGAGCCTTGGTAGTACAGTGGTCTAAAGCACCCTGTTATTAAGACCAGCTGCCTGCAATTACTGCAGGTTCGAATCTCGCCAGGCTCAAGGTTGACTCAGCCTTCCATCCTTTCTAAGGTAGGTAAATTGAGGACCCAGTTTGTGGGGGCAATAAGCTGACTTTGTATAAAATATACAAAAGAATGAAGGCTATTGCTTAGCGCATTGTAAGCCGCCCTGAGTCTCCGGAGAAGGGCAGCATATAAATCAAATTAAAAAAAAAAAAAGTGTGAAAAACAGTCATAACTCACTTTTTTTAGTGCCGTTGGAACTTCGGTCACTAAACGAATGATTGTAAGTCGAGGACTACTTGTATTAATAACATCCCCAAAGAGAGATTCTCTTTCCAAACAGATAACAAGGCAGATGATTTCTAACTGACATGGCTTTCTCCAGGAAGGTTATTCTGAAAATTAGAACTATAAGAATGTGTAATGACATGGCTTTCTGGCTTGTTTCTTTTGTATTAGAGTGTGTTCAGTCCAGTCCCGATGCTCATTGTGAAGGACCCAGTAGACAGAACAATTGAATTCCTTCCCACCAAGGCCCCCTACGATCCTCGCTGGATGCTGGCTGGAAGACCTCACCCAAGTATGTGGACTTCAGAAGGTGGATTCAGTACAAGGCTCGCATGGAGGCGCTGGGAGGGCATTTTCAGCCACCGGAGGGCCTCTGGGGGGGGGGGGGGAGGCCGTTTTCACCCTTCCCAGGCTCCAGGAAAGCCTCTGGAGCCTGGGGAGGGTGAAAAACGGGCCTACCGTAAGTCTGGAAACGGGCCGTTTCTGGCCTCCAGAGGCTTCAGGTAGTCCTGCTAGGCCCAAAACGGGACACGGGGGGGTTGCGTGCGCAGGGGGGTGTCACACGTGTACGCACGGGGGGGTTGCGTGCGCATGTGCAGGGCATGTGGGGAGGCATTGAATTATGGGTGTGGGCATACGTGCGTGCCCCCCCCTGTGCTCCCCCCACTTTTGGCATGTGACGGCAAAAAGGTTAGCCATCACTGCTCTACACAATCTTTAATAGGAGCATGGTGACTCGCATGGTTAGGATGTTGGGTTTGGAGGTTAGCAAACTCGCGTTTGAGACCCAAGTGCTGCCGTGTGGTGGGTTGAACTCTCGTCCTTCGCTCCAGCTCTTGTGGGACATGAAGGGAGCCCCCAACTGGGCGTCTCCCCAGGCAACATTGATGTTACTGGCTAATCCTTTCAATCTAGAAGTGCCTCAGTGCTTCAGACACGAGTGCAATATGATGAACTGTAAGATACTTATTTATCTTATTGCTCATCTTTCAGTGATTCCTATTCATGGGACTCTCATTAAATTGCTTCAGACTGCCTGTAGGTTTAAGTTTCTAGAAGTCTGTGTTGTTTGTATATTCTAGACTAGTATTTTTTTATTTGAACTCAATTTGATGTAAGACATGCTAATATTTTGGAAAGGAAAAATTGCAGATCTTTTCTGTCATCTCAATAATTTTGCAGGCCAGATTTAAGCAGATACTTTTAAACAGTAGAGAAGAGCTGAAACTTCGGCTGCTTGGCAACTAACCCATATTTATGACGGTCGCAGTGTCCTGGACTCACGTGATCCCCTTTTGCAACCTTCTGACAAACAAAGTCAATAGGGAAGCCAGATTCATTTAACGACCGTGTTACTAACTTAACAACTGTAGTGATTCACTTAACAACTATGGCAAGGAAGGTTGTAAAACAGGGCACAGAAATTTTGGGGTTATTGTGGTCGTAAGTGGAGGATTACCAGTATTTTGTATGCAAAATTGCAAATTTCTCCCAGAAATCAAAATATGAATAGAATAGAATAGAATAGAATAGAATAGAATAGAATAGAATAGAATAGAATAACAGAGTTGGAAGAGCCTTGGTGGCGCAGCAGACTAAAATGCTGTTAAGTAGCACCAGCTGCCTGCAATTACTGCAAGTTCAAATCTCACCAGGCTCAAGGTTGACTCAGCCTTCCATCTTTCCGAGGTAGGTAAAATGAGGACCCGGATTGTGGGGGCAATAAGCTGACTTTGTATAAAAAAGAACACCATTTGGGGGGGGGGGGCAAAGCCCTACTAAGCAGGTATATACAAAAGTATGAAGGCTATTGCTTAACGCATTGTAAGCCACCCTGAGTCTCCGGAGAAGGGCGGCATCTAAATCAAACCAATAAATAAATAAATAAATTCTAGTCCAAACCCCTTCTCAGGCAGGAAACCCTACATCACTTAAGACAAATGGTTATCCAACATCTTCTTAAAAACTTCCAGTGTTGGAGCATCCACAACTTCTGGAGGCAAGTTGTTCCACTGATTAAACTGTTCTAATAGTCAAGAAATTTCTCCTTAGTTCTAGGTTGCTTCTCTCCTTGATTAGTTTCCATCAGTTGCTTCTTGTTCTGCCCTCAGGTGCTTTGGAGAATAGCTTGACTCCCTTTTCTTTCTGGCAGCCCCTGAGATATTGGAACACTGCTATCATGTCTCCCCTAGTCCTTCTTTTCATTAAACTAGGCATATCCAGTTCCTGCAACCGTTCTTCATATGTTTTAGCCTCCATAATGAACGAGGGAGTTGCAAGCCTTCTGGTTCCTACTTAGAATGAAACCGTTGACGATGGTAGACTTTTTTCCCCCTGGCAATTTGGGGTCTAATGTTCTTCCCCTTCCTTGCTTCTCCCCTCCCTCAAATCATCTGCTGGCAATTCATCTGCCTTGTCTTGAGTCTGCAGTGCTCCAAACGGAGTGACTTTGGTTTCTAATTTAGTAGAGGCGTTGAGGGAAGCAGATGATTTTACCCGATAAGTTAAGGGAGAGATCTCTTAGGTGAAAAGTTAAAGCCGTTTATTAGGGGAGATAGCGCCTTGATATTCTTCAAACTGACGCTCAACACGAGGCCACGGAATCGAAACGATCAGCTTTCTGGACTCTCCGATGAAGAGATAATTTTAAAATAGATGGCCACGTTTTACAGCGGGAGGGTGGGTGGGAAACGGGTATATTAGAACATAGTAATTTCAAGATTGGGCTTGATAAAACACTTTCCATTCTGTCGGAGTCAGCAAAGGTTGGCATCCCTACATCTCCACTTTTAATTGGTTTTGCACTTGGCTTTGGGGAGGACTTTTTCACAATTATTGCGAAACAGGGGCAGAAACACCGAGCTTCCCCTTCCTTCCTTCCTTCCTTCCTTCCTTCCTTCCTTCCTTCCTTCCTTCCTTCCTTCCTTCCTTCCTTCCTCCCTCCCTCCCTCCCTCCCTCCCTCCCTCTCTCCCTCCTTCCTTCCTTCCTTCCTTCTTTTTTTTTTGGGCAGTGGTTTTGTAGACAATGTATGTGCAATGAAGGATTCAGAGAAAGCCAATTCAGGCTTAGTGGCAAGAGAGAAAGTTGGCATCAACGCTTAGAGCCAGTTGGATTTCGTGTTGTGTTTTTCAACATTAACTTAACCTGAACTCAGGTTTCTCTATTCCTACCATAGTCCAGCCTCTTTATCCACTACTAGACCGGTGTTTTTCAAACTTGGCAACTTTAAGATGTGACAGGGAGGGGGCAGGAAGCTCATGGATTTGTATTTGATTTCTGTTGATTTCTGTTCTGATGTTGGGACTCTAGAAAGAGTGCAGAGAAGTGCAACATAGATGATTAAAGGACTGGAGGCTAAAACATATGAAGAACGGTTGCAGGAATTGGTTACTGGCTCAGTTGGTAAGACACCGAGCTTTGTCGATCAAAAGGTTGACAGTTCAGCAGTTCGAATCCCTAGTGCCGCGTAACGGGGTGAGCTCCCATTACTTGTCCCAGCTTCTGCCAACCTAGCAGTTCGAAAGCACATAAAAAATGCAAGTAGAAAAATAGGGACCACTTTGGTGGGAAGGTAACAGCGTTCCGTGCGCCTTTGGCGTTGAGTCATGCCGGTCACATGACCACGGAGACGTCTTCGGACAGCGCTGGCTCTTCAGCTTAGAAACGGAGATGAGCACCGCCCCCTAGAGCTGGAAATAACTAGCATGCATGTGCGGGGGAACCTTTACCTAGTTTAATAAAAAGGATTAAGGGTGACATGATAACAGTCACAGAGAAGACGGGGTCAAGCTATTCTCCAAAGCACCTGAAGGCAGGACAAAAAGCAACGGATGGAAACCAATCAAGGAGAGAAGCAACCTAGAACTAAGGAGGAATTTCTTGACAGAACAATTGATCTGTGGAACAACTTGCCTCCAGAAGTTGTGGGTGCTCCAACACTGGAAGTTTTCAAGAAGAAACAGGACAACCATTTATCTGAAATGGTATAGCATTTCCTGCCTGAGCAGTGGGTTGGACTAGAAGACCTCCAAGGCTCCTTCCAACTCTATTATCCTTTGTTGAGTCACATTTTTAAGTTCTCACAAACTCCAGAATAACACTTTCTTCCCAACACAAGGGTTGTGACAACATCTGGAAGACTTGGGCAGCTTTGAGATCCTAGAGGCTTTTGAGGGTCCTTGCTTTGGATTCTCCTAATTTTGTACTAATCCAGTATTTTGAACATCATTTGTAGCTGGATTAATGACAACATCACAATGCCTCTAGGACATGGGTGTCAAACCCGCAGCGTCACCTTGCCATCACGTGATGTTTCGCGATGTTTTCCCCATTGACGGAGCTGTGGTGGGCATAGCCTGTGTGAGACGCATCCGGCCCACGGGCCGCCAATTTGACACTCCTGCTCTAGGATTTCAACAGCTGCCCAAACTTTCCAGATGTTGAGCCAGCCCTTGTCGTGGGAAGAGGTCCCAAGAGCCGAATCTGAGACCTTCAAGCAGTGTTTCTCGACCTCAGCAAATCTAAGAAGCGTGGACTTCAATTCCCACAATTCCCCAGCCAGCACGTTGAGGAATTCTGGGAGTTGACGTCCAAGCAGTTTAAAGTTGCCAAGGTCGAGAAACACTACCTTCAAGCATATGCCAGGCTGCTGTGGTGCGGATTATCATCTGCCACTGCCAATTATCTGTGTCTTCCTTGCCAGCATTGCCCATTTGGGCGGAAGAACCCTAATAACTTATCTTTAAAAGGTAACACGTAATTTAGAAAACCGAAGAGGCTTGAAAAACAACAGCTGTAATGCCTTAGATTTCTTTTGAAAAATGCTTGCAGTGTCTTGAAAGAAAGGAGGGGTGGTGGGGGGGAACACCCTGTAGAGTTATTTATTTAAACCAACAGAAATTCCCTCTGCTACCCGCGTGTCCCATCTTTTAACAATAACTGATGCTTTCTGCTGATAAATGGCCCTCTTTTTATGCAGACAAGCAAATTAAAGAGGCAACCATTGGTGAGGGCAGGCAGATGATGGGTTTTGTCATTTTAATATGTCTCTCCTGGTGCCATTTGTTAAAGATGGGACATTTTTTTCTTAAGGCGTTCTGAGGTAAAATATACACTGATATCTAATCCGTGGCAGAGTGGATGGAAGTCCGAAATTGGCGCAGGGTGTTTATGAGAGTTGTGTGTCTCAGCTTCTGAGAATAAGCAAAGTACAGCTGATAAAAGAAACTAGATCCGTGATGGCGAATCTCACAGGTGGGACGCGGCTCCCTCTCTGGAACCGTCATCCCAGTTTAGGTCTGTTGCGCATGCGCGCGCGCCTCCCGCCAGCCAGCTGGTCGTTGGGTGTCTGCTGCACGTGTGTGGGGGTGGGGTGCATGTGGTGGGGTGGGGTGGGGTGCGTGCATGCACAGGGGGTAGGGTGTGCGTGGTGGGGGGCATGTGGCAATGCACAGGGGCGCATGTGCATGTGTGGGAGGTGGGGCGCATGCATGGGGGCAATGCACATGCCTTGTATTTTGGGGGTTCTGGCGCACACGCGCATATTCGCGCACACACACATGCTTTGGTCACTCGGTCCCTAAAAGGTTAGCCATCACTGGGCTAGATAAAGATTTTTTTGAATAATAACAACGGAGTTGTAGGTCACTTGTAGGTCATCTAGTCCAACCCCCCACCCAAGCAGGAGACCCTACACCATTTCTGACAGATGGCAGTCCAGTCTCTTCTTGAAGGCTTCCGGTGAATGTTTTAAATGTTTATTTATTTATTTGTGTCCCACCATTATTATTATTTTTTTTACAAATAACCCAAGGCAGTGAACATATCCAAGACATTTTCCTCTTCCTATTTTCCCCACAACCCACCCTGTGAGGCAGTTTAGATTTACAGACTAAATTTTTCCTTGACATTTAACGGCTGTATTCGGACAACACGCAGGAAAAGGTCTTAACAGGTTCACTTGCAAATACAATTTAGCTAGGATAGTGTTAACCTTGGTTAGTTTTTAAAGTGACTTAAGTGGTTGGAATCGGACCTGCGTGGTCAGTGCATTGTGTGAAGGGAGTAGTACATAAACTAATTCAGTGAATGGATTAAACATATTGTGTCCTGTCAGTTTCCAGCTGATCTTTGGCTTTTTCTGGCCAAGTGAGCAAATTTACAAACATTGTAATGGGCTGCTGTTACACTCCATTGTTTTCTAAAAAAAATGTTGGCGTGACCTATTGGGAACCTAAGGCAATAAAGATGCTTTTCAGTATGCCATTTCTGTTTTTAATTTTGCCTAATATTTAAGAAACTGAAAAACTGAGTGAACAGAAGCCGTAGTATGAACATCAAGAAGAAATGATGGTGATATCAGTGTAATGTACTTAGTCATTGCTTCTAGAGCAGAGGTCTCCAGCGTTGGCAATTTTAAGACTTGTGGACTTCAGCTCTCAGAGTTCTCTGGGAGTTGAAGTCCACAAGTCTTAAAGTTGCCAACGTTGGAGACCCCTGTTCTAGAGCACCTAATAGTTATATAAGTCAGGAGCGTCCAACCTTGGCAACTTTAAGACCTGTGGACTTCAACTCCCAGAATTGTCCAGCCAGCTATGCTAGCTGAGGAATTCTGGGAAGTGACTTCCACAAGTTCAAGACCAGCTCTCGATCTCATAATAGAAAAGAAAGGAATGAGTGGAAGAGTGGAGAAATTATGGTTGGGAAACTCTCTTTACTATCTTCTTCTTGGACAACTTGGATGTTGGGAAGAAGATGTCTATGGAGATTCTCATCCATCCGTCATGGTTGTCCCAAAGGTGCTTTTTTTTTAAAAAAAAGGCAACTGCACTTTTTTTCCCCCTTGAAGATGTTTTGCTTCTCATCTAGGAAGTTTCTTCAGTTTCGAAGAAGCTTCAAGGAAAAACAAAGAGTTAAAAAAAAAACAGTTGCCTTTTGGAAAAAAAACACACCTTTGAGACAAGGAAAGAAGATTCACCATTCCAGTAGAACTCAAGTCTTCTCTTCTGTTCTCCAAACTGAGATCTTCCATGGCACCAAGTCAGTGGTGGTATTCAGCCGGTTCGGGAAAACCGGTAGTGGCGACCTGCAGGCCCACCCGCGCACCCACCCTGGCGCTATGCTGTCCTATTTAGCCACGTTTTCTAAGCCGCGCGCATGTGTGCAAGCCATGTGCGCTCACATTTTCGGTGCACGGCGAACCGGTGGTAAAATGATGTGAAACCCACCTCTGCACCAAGTCATGCTAAGTTTCTCACTCTTCGTAATATTTCTCCTTTTCTCCCCATCTTTGCAGCTCAGAAGGGCCAGTGGCTGAGTGGTTTCTTCGATTACGGCTCTTTTTTGGAGATCATGCAGCCCTGGGCTCAGACGGTTGTGGTTGGCAGAGCCAGGTAAGTCTAAGAACATTAAGAATAGTAGCGACAGTAATAATTATGCCTAGAGCACTTTAGCGTCCTCAGAGCACTTAAGATTCGTGTTATTAGTATAAGAACCCTGTAAGATAGCAAGATAAGGGAATTAAAAAGGAATCAGAGTCATTGGGTGCTATTGGCAAATGCAAAATGCAAAACTACTTGGGTGCAAAATATTTTGAATTCAGAATGTTCCAAGCTTCAGACAGCTCTTCTGGTGTTTAAGGGTTTTGATGCTAGTTCTAATTGTTTGAGATGTTCTGAGCAGGAATCAGGAGCTGTTTCAGAACATTTCTGATAAGGCCAAGACCGCTCATTTTAAGCTCAAAATGTCAGGAATAAGGTAAAGGTAAAGGTTCTCCTCGCACATATGTGCTAGTCATTCCCGACTCTAGGTGGCGGTGCTCATCTCTGTTTCAAAGCCGAAGAGCCAGCGCTGTCCGAAGACGTCTCCGTGGTCATGTGGCCGGCATGACTCAACACCAAAGGCACACGGAACGCTGTTACCTTCCCACCAAAGGTGGTCCCTATTTTTCTACTTGCATTTTCTACGCGCTTTTGAACTGCTAGGTTGACAGAAGCTGGGATAAGTAACGGGAGCTCACCCCATTATGCGATGCTAGGGATTCAAACCGCTGAACTGCCAACCTTTCGATCGACAAGCTCAGCATCTTAGCCACTGAGCCACCGTGTCCCTTTTATGAGGTTTAAAATGGGCTCATTTCATACCTCATAAAAGGGACACAGTGGCTAATTTTATAAAATGAGCCCATTTGTAAACCAAAACTGTACATGATCTTTGTGGATCTGTAGGTATATTTTTGAACTTTAATAGAGAATATTACAGCTAGTCCTCAATTTACGACCACAATTGAGCCCAATATTTCCTTTGCTAAGTGAAACATTTGTTAAGTGAATTTTGCCACATTTTACGACCTTTCTTGCCACAGTTAAATGAATCGCTGTAGTGATTAAGTTAGTAACACGATTGTTAAGTGAATCTGGCTTCCCCATTGGATTTGCTTGTAAGAAGGTCGCAAAAGGGGATCACATGACCCTGGGGTAGTGCAACCGTCATAAATATGAGTCAGTTGCCAAGTGTCCGGATTTTGATTAATGACCACAGGAATTCTGCAACAGTTGTAAGTCTGAAAAACGGTCATAAGTCACTTTTTTCAGTATCGTTGTAACTTTGAACAGTCACTAAAGGAACTGTTGTAAATTGAGGACTACCTGTATTTATCTGTGGTTTGTATTTAATCCATCCTTTTTTAAAAAAAATTAGAGCATAATGCTTTGTTACGGGGAAGTGGCCTGAAAAAAGATACTGCTGCTTTAAAGAGCCCACTCATTAAAATTATTACACATTTTAAAGTTATAGTAACTGTTTCTCAGACCTGCAAGAAAGTTTGAAAAAAGCAAGTTGCTTTAACGAGTGACAAAGGAGTTGTGCTCGTCCAAGCGAAAACATTTCTCACAAATCATTTTCAAAGTGTGCACAATCCATGTATCTGTGGATCTGTAATCACATCCAGTCTAGAATTTGGGTGGTTGATGCATCTATTTATGTCATTGGCTCTTCATTATTCTTGTTTTATGTTCTTTATGTTCAGTTTAGGGGTGTGATGGCTCAGCGGTTAAAGACACTGAGCTTCTCAGCTGGAAAGCTGACAGCCCAGGTTCGAGACCTGAGCATCGCACAATGGAATGAGCTCCCATTATCTGCTCCAGCTCCTGATCACCTAGTAGTTTGAAAGCATGCAAATGTGAATAGATAAATAGGTACCATTTTGGTATTATTCGGACCCAGCATTCGCCAGTAATGATAAGCCATTTACTTATGAGTAAAACAACCCACTTTTTATAACAGGGCAGCATGTGGATAAGCAAAAAATCAAACGTAATTAGTCCCAACAAAACCTGGTTCTGGCCAAGGAATCCGAATTGCTTGCTGTATACTAGAAACGAATGGTTGTCTGCAACAACCGGCCACTCCCAAACCCTCCTGTTTATTTCCCAGCCAGGGTAGCGTCTACATCCATATTTATTTCCCAGAGGCTAGCGTCTACATCTGCCTTTCCCTGAGACCCGGCTTATTGTTTTCCTTTGCTCTCCTCTCCTTTCCTCTCTGCGCATATGCGCATCTGGGATGGGCCCCATCTGTTCCTCCCCATCACTCAGCTCAGGCCCCGAAGAGAGCTGCCTCTCCACCTGGGGGAGGAGGGAAGGCCCCGGCTCTGCCTCTGATGCTGTTCCTTCACAAAGCCTTCCAAAGGCTCTGAAGCCGGCCCAGGCTTTCCCTCAACCTCCTCCTTATCTGACTCTGCTGCTAGCTCTGCTGGAAGCTGGTGGGACACAACAGGTATACAGCATGTACCTCAGTGTACCTCAGTCATGCTGGGCACTTGACCATGGAAATGTCTTTGGACAACACTGGCTCCCTCAGCTAAGAAACAGCGATGAGCACCCACCCTCTAGAGCAGTGATGGCTAACCTTTTTGCCGTCGCGTGCCAAAAGCGGGGGGAGTGCAGGGGGGTCATGCATGTGCATACCCACACCCATAATTCAATGTCCCCCGCCCCCTGTGCATGCGCACGTGACCCCCCCACACAGTCCCCCCGCTTTTAGCACGCAACGGCAAAAAGGTTACCAGTGGGCCTGGTAGGCCCGTTTTTCACTTTCCCCAAGCTCCAGAGGCTTTCTTTGAGCCTGGGGAGGGCAAAAACAACCTCCCCCACCCCCCGGAGGCCCTCTGGAGGACAGAAACAACCCGTTTCCCGACTTCCGGTGGGCCCGGAAGGCCCAAAAATCAGGTGACTGGTGCACGCATGCGCGCTGGCGCTGAACTAGGGCAACGCTCGCGTGCCCACATATATGAGTCTTCATGCCACCTGTGGCATGCGTGCCATAGGTTCGCCATCACGGCTCTAGAGTCAGACACAACTTGACCGGGGAAATCTTTTTTTTTTACTTTTGGCTGTTCACCGCCGAGTCCTTCGGGAGAAGGGCTATATATAAATTTAAATATTAAATTAAATATTATTAAATTTTCCTTTATTTATCTTCAGTGTATTTTATAAAAACCATTTAGTCTGAGGCTTCTTCTAAGCATTACACAGGTTTTAAAAACCAGAAGCAAGACTTTTGAACAAGGCTGGGGAATGTTCCTTATGCATTTAATGTTGTGTTTTTGTTTTCACTAGGCTGGGTGGCATACCACTTGGAGTGGTTGCTGTTGAAACGAGGACAGTAGAACTGAGCATTCCTGCAGATCCCGCAAATCTAGACTCAGAAGCCAAGGTAAGTGTTATTTTCTAAGGTGGACGACCCACATATGGGGCTGGAAACATCTGTATAACAATTAGAGAAAGATTTTTGTTGTTAGTTGCGATGTTGTGTCTGACCCATCGCGACCAGTGGTGGGTTCCTCCCGGTTCGGCTCGGTTCTCCCGAGCCGGTAGCGGTGACGATATGACATCACCGAACCGGTTCTGCAACCTCTTAAGGTTGTAGGAAAAATCCTTTTAAAAGTAAAAAAAAAAAAAAAGTTGGCCATGCCCACCCAGTCACATTAAACCGCCCCCCCCTCCCCAAGCCACAGAACCGGTAGTAACAAATTTTACATTTCACCACTGGTTTACTCCCTATTTACATACTATACATCGCTCTGCCCGTGCCGGTAAGAGTGTGGTTTATTATTGATCTTCCCTCTTTCCACCCCCTGCCACAGATTATCCAGCAAGCTGGCCAAGTCTGGTTTCCTGACTCTGCTTTCAAAACCGCAGAAGCCATCAAGGATTTTAATCGGGAGGGACTTCCGCTGATCGTCTTCGCCAACTGGAGAGGTTTCTCAGGTGGAATGAAAGGTGATTATTGTTTAAAAAAAAAAAAAGAGGAAGGAGTATGGTGAGAAACCGTGGTGCTGGTAGAGAGCAGATGACAGGGACAATTATTGGAATTTAGGAGTGGGTTTAGTGGTATGTGTTTATGGGGATTCTCAGTCATTCAGCTCATGGTTGTCCCAAAGATGCTTTTTTCAAGAGGCAACTGGACTTCCTGGTTTTTCTTTGAGGACGTTTTGCTTCTCATCCAAGAAGCTTCTTCAGCTCTGACTGGACGGTGGGGAATGGAAGGATTTATATTCCTTGCAGACAGCTGGTCATTTGCATTATTTTAGAGAGTCTTTGAGGCCACTTGGAGGTTTATCTGTGTCCTCAGGGTCTGATTTGAAAGAGGGGTCAAAGAGACCATCTATGTCAAAATTGAACAGCCCTCTGTCAACAGCGGGGGACGGGTATGGCAACATCTATCTCCTGTTTACAACACGGTCCATTCAACAGTTCCAAGAAGGCTCCACACCCATTTGCACTACTCAGGTGACCCTGAGGACACAGAGAAATCTCCAGGTGGCCTCAACAACTCTCTAAAAGGATGCAAATGACCAAGCTGTCTGCAAGGAGTATAAATCTTTCCATTCCCCACCATCCAGTCAGAGCGGAAGAAGCTTCTTGGATGAGAAGTGAAACATCTTAAAAGAAAAAAAACAAGAAAGTCCAGTTGTACCTTTGGGTTTAGTGGTATAGATAGTCCTTGATTTACGACCGCAAGTGAAACCAGAAATTGCTAAGCAAGGCAGTTAAGTGAATTGTGCTCTATTTTAAGACCTTTTTTTGCTTAGGTTGTTAAGCAAACCACTGCAGTTGTTAAGGGAAGCACGTAGTCTTTGAGTAAATCTGGTCGCTAAATGAATGATTGTAAGGCAAGGACTATCTGTATTGCTATTCTTGTTTCGTAAAACAAAAAAAAAATGGTTAGGGTGACTGGACAGACCAAAATTAATTAATGGCAGTGGGAAGATTCGGTCTGGTGGTTTTCTGTGTCAATATTTAGCTACTTAACCACTGTTTTACAGGCTGTCCTTGACTTACGACCACAACTGAGCCCAACATTTCTGTTGCTAAGTGAATTTTGGCCCATTTTACAACCTTTCTTGCCACAGTCGTTAAGTGAAACACTGCAGTTGTTAAATGAGTAACACGGTTGTTAAGTGAATCTGGCTTCTTCATTGACTTCGCTGGTCAGAAGGTCACAAAAGGGGATCACATGATCCCGGCACACTGCAACTGTCATAAATATGAGTCAGTTGCTAAGCGCCCAGATTTTTTATCACATGACCACGGAGATGCCACAACAGTCCTAAGTGTGAAAAAGCAATGATAAGTCACTTTTTTCAGTGCCTTTATAACTTGGAACTTTCACTAAAAGAACGGTTGTAAATCGAGGACTAACTATACTCAGGATGGTTCTGTGGTGCCAGATTTCATATTGATACATTTAAAGCAATTTCTCGGAGATGAATGGAGGCTCCCCTTTATTTACAGATGCAAATGATCATAAATAGGAGAGAATATGTAAATCAGGATTTGATGTTCTGCATGCTGCATAGGTCTCCAGCGACCTTTGGAAACCCCATAGGATCAAATAGTTAAATACTGGCATCACAGTGATGACTTTTGGCAATGCTACTTATTTTTCTTTTCAATTAAGGATGCAAAACAGAGATGTCAAGCCTTGGGGAGGCTAAACGTATCTATTTTCAGTAACCCTTTGCCCCCCTCCCCCGGGCTCCGAAAAATAAAACAAATTGGGCTGAAAAGAAGAGTACCATCCACTCAGATGGCTTCCTATTTTATCATCATGTAGGGAGTCCTCCGCTTACGACCCCAATTGGAACCAGGATTTCCATTGCTAATCAAGGCAATTGTTGATAGCACTATAGCAATAGCACTTAGACTTATATAACGCCTCACAGTGCTTTACAGCCCTCTCTAAGCGGTTTACAGAGTTAGTGTCAGGGTTCCAAGTAATATACCAGGGGTGAAATCCAGCAGGTTCTGACAGGTTCTGGAGAACCGGTAGCGGAAATTTTGAGCAGTTCGGAGAACCGATAGCAGAAATTTTGAGTAGTTCGGAGAACCGGCAAATACCACCTCTGGCTGGCCCCAGAGTGGGGTGGGAATGGAGATTTTGTAATATCTTCCCCCCAGGAGTGGGGAGGGAATGGGGATTTTGCAGTATCCTTTCCCTGGAGTGGGAAGGAAATGGGGATTTTGCAGTATCCTTCTGGAGTGGGGAGGGAATGGGGATTTTGCAGTATCCTTCCCCTGGAGTGGGGAGGGAATGGAGATTTTGCAGTATCCTTCCCCTGCCACGCCCACCAAGCCACACCATGCCCACCAAGCCATGCCCACAGAACCGGTAGTAAAAAAATTTGGATTTCACCACTGTAATACACCCATAGCAAACAAAACTCTGAGGCAGGTAAATTCCTCAAAGAATAAGTTTATTAGATATATCAGATTGGCACAGGCTGGTGAAAACCGACTCTGAATGTTCCTGCGGTTTTCACCTAATTAAAAATCAAAGTTTTCCTCCTTCCCCATACAATCAGTCACATGGTCCAATCAAGGTGTCGCCCGGTTGCCTGGTAACTTCACTCCTCCTCTCTCCGACCACCTGTGGGAATGTCCTTGGTTCCCAGGAGAAAGTATTTTGTTTTGACTACAAAACTCAGCTATCTTTACTCCCCCCCACCTCCCTGTGCCTCAGCTGTGGCAACACTGAAGCCTCAAAATGGCCTCGGTTAGGTCAGCTTCAGGGTTGACAGTTAACATATTGCCCCCAACAATCTGGGTCCTCATTTTACCGACCTCAGAAGGATGGAAGGCTGGCTCAACCTTGAGCCGGTGAGAATCGAACTGCCAAACTGCTGGCAGCCGGCAGTCAGCAGAACTGCAGTACTGCTTTCTAACCACTGCACCACCAAGGTTAAGTGAGTTATACCCAATTTTACAACTCTTTTGCCACGGTTGTTAAGTAAATCGCTGCAGTTATTAAGTGACTCATTCGGACACGAAGCGAATCTGGTTTTCCCCATGCTTGCCGGAACCAGTTGAGAAGGTTGCAAATGGTGATCACATGAACACTGGAATGCTGCATCCAGCTTTGGTCGCCACGATGTAAAAAAGATGTTGAGACTCTAGAAAAGAGTACAGAGAAGAACAAGAAAGAGGATTAGGGGACTGGAGGCTAAAACATATGAAGAACGGTTGCAGGAACTGGGTAATGTCTAGTTTAATGAAAAGAAGGACTAGGGGAGACATAATAGCAGTCTTCCAATATCTCAGGGGCTGCCACAAAGAAGAGGGAGTCAAGCTATTCTCCAAAGCCCCTGAGGGCAGGACAAGAAGCAATGGATGGAAACTAATCAAGGAGAGAAGCAACATAGAACTAAGGAGAAACTTCCAGACAGTTAGAACAATTAATCAGTGGAACAGCTTGCCTCCAGAAGTTGTGAATCCTCCAACACTGAAGTTTTTAAAAAGAGATTGGACAATCGTTTGTCTGAAATGGAATAAGGCAGTGGCCCCCAACCTTTTGGGCACTAGAGACCGGTTCCTTGGAGACAGGTTTTTCTACAGACCAATGGGGGCATGTTTTTGCATGCTGACTGCATCCCGCGGATGGGGCTTCACTTGTTTGCGATTTCTGCTGGTCCATGGACCGGTAGTTGGGGATCCCTGGTATAAAGTTTCCTGTGTGAGTAGGAGGTTGGACTAGAAGACCTCCAAGATCCCTTCCAACTCTGATATTCTGTTATGACCCCAGGACGCTGCAACCATCATAAATACATGCTGGTTTGCCAAGCCCCTGAATTTTGATCACGTGACCATGGAAATGCTGCGATGGTCGCGAGTGCGAGGACTGGTTGTAAGTTACTTTTTTTCAGTGCTGTTGTAACTTTGAGCTGTCGCTAAACGAATAGTCTCAAGTCGAGGACTACCTGTATATCTCTGTAGCTTGTAGGCTAATAGGAAGAAGGAAAATTGAAGGTTGATCGGTGGCTGGTCAAAAAACAGTACCCCCTTGCTCTCAAATCACCGGAGCAACCTGCAGTCTGAAACTCAACAGGGGCTAGGAACCAGCAGAGTGGTTTGGGGGATCTAATAGATTCTCTGCATGAAAAGCCATCACTCCCAAGGTTTTGCCTTGCCCCTTAAAAAAAAAAAAAACCCAACAACTTCCTACTTAGATATTATCCAGCACAGGCAGGTATAAAAACTCCAGGCTCGTGTTGTCAATCTCGCCGTTTCCCCCCTTGGAGAGTTGTTTGCAATTTTAGTTTCCGTGTTAGTCGGGCTACAAGGAGAAGCAGGAAAGGATTAAGCCGGGAATGAAAATAAACAATTATAGCACCCCTTGGTGAGCCTAAGAACACACAAATACATGCATATGTACACACATTGCTAAGAAACGGCTGCACTGTGGGTAAAATGACTCTAAAATTGTGTGTAATGAGAAGGAAAAGATTAGAGGGAGCTTTTGCCATGTTGAGAATTGACATTAGTGGAGGAAGGGGGAAATTCTTTACAAGTCAGTGCAGGGGGTCTAATTTAGACTGGGGCGTGTGTGTGTTTGCCATCCATACACATTGGCTTCCGTGCATGTATTTATATCCCCATCCAGATACAATTCTGTACAATAAATAAAATCACATTGAGAAGGGAACGGCTGCTTTCTTCTAGAAGCATTCCAGCCAGCTACAAAGCCTATTGCAAAAATTAAAATGATTTTGTGTGTGTGTGTGTTAAAACGCGCCTTGAATATTTAGATGGAGGCACTGGCTTATTTAGACGAACTGCCAGTGACCCACAACAGTGAGACATCAAGCGTGAAATTTACTGGAAATTAGCACCGGGGTCTCGGGCCCAGCGTGAATGGGGTTGATAAGATGCAAATCCCAGCGATATTAAACCGCCTTGCTGGCAGCGCTATGGGGTCGTTCGCTGTGGGTTTTTCATGTTAC